AACGTTGTTGCAGCTCCACTATCAACTAAGCATTTTGTTTTGATGTTTATTTATAGTTAAAGTAATTATGGGTAATTTCGTTCCCGAGGCGGTACATGAAAATTTTGAGTGGTACTAATGACACCAATATCCATTGGTACAGGGTATGGCATATTGCTAGAATGTCTATTTTGATTTTGTAGTAGTTCCAAACCTGGTTCTTGTGGATGAATATTATTTCCGCTAAAACTATCTTGATGACCTCTAAGGCTTCCAAGAGGAGATCTTAAATTATCTCTATTATTATAATTATATCCTCTATTAATGCTGCTATATTGATTATCATTATTGCGAAAACTGTTTCCGCTATAATTATTTGAATTTTGAAAATTTCTATTGTAACTTTTATTACCATTTGAAAAATTATTCCTGTTTTGAGTTTTACTAGTGTTGAAATTATTATTATTGAATAGTTTACCTTCACTTGTAAAATTGCTATTATTTTGTATAGAATTATGTGGAAAATTATGCACCTGTGTTCTATTAACTAATATTATATCTCTTAGTATATTGTTTTCTATATAAAATGTATATGCAGTATTGATAGAGTGAATGTGGTTTTGTAATAGCAAAGATTTAATATGAAGAGGCAAAAAGTTTACATAAATATCAAATATCATCTTCTCATTATTATCTGGAGTGTACATCATATTAGGTTCTAAGCTATATTTAGTATTCATATTGCTTAATATTTCCCTTAACTTCTGGTGTAACTCTTCTATGTTCTTAGCATCAACGTTCATTGCATCACTTCTTAGGTTAAAATAAGTTCTCTTAATGCCAAACTCTTCTTTTAGCTTATTTAATAACACCTCCCAGCTTGGGTTAACTAACGTTTCTACTGCACTTAATGCTTTACCTTGTAACCTATTACTCAGTACCTGTTGCAGCGTAGCTTGATGTTCAGCTGGCGTTAACTGCTGCACAGTAGCGACGTCTCTCAAATAATTGCTTAAACTATACTCACTCGTT